CGTTCCAAGCCCCCCCCCCCCCCCCCCCCCCCCCTTCTTAAATATGTTATCACAGAGGTGCTACCACCGTCACTGATTGGCTTGGTCTTGGCCAGCAGCGGGTCCATCTTGGAGCTGTCTGGCATTGGCTCTATCGGACATAGGAGAAGCTTCTAGCAGCTTCTCACTGAAGCCACCCCTGTAGCCCCCCTGCTACCGAAACCTTGTCACGTAAACCCAATACAACTCCAGGATCCATTTCCTTTTTAAGAGTCTTGAACATGTTGGCTTTTTTCCTTTTCTTCCCAAGTAGGAATGTCAAACTTGGAAATATGGAAATCATCCCTAGAATAGGTTTTTTTTCCCCTTTCCCATCTTCTCCAAGCTGCATCTGTTCTTTGTAAATACAGACAAAACCAGCACTCCAAATGACTCTTACTTTTCTGCCCGAAGTAAATAGCAACTTTCTCCTGCAGCAGATGGGAAAAGATGTGTGTATATAAAGAACTGTGAATTATCCCCAGTCATCTCAGAGGGTCTTGCCACAAGGGAATAATTATATTAATTGTTAGCTATGGTTCCCTTTAATTGCAACAATGCTAAGGCTGGAGTTTAGTAGCTTGTGAAATTTGATATTGCCAGCTGCTTAGTGATCCTGAAATTATTGTGTTTGTGAATGATTTGTGGAGCATATTTAAGAAAAAGGCAAAAAATTCTGATGTGCAAGCAAATAAGAGAAAATAATACAGAAAAATAGGAACATGCTGGCCACTTGTCTGAGTTCTCATAACATCTTTATGATTATCTTTTGAGTGCCTCTTTGTCATTTTTTTTTTTCCCTTTATCATCATTTTAACAGATTCAAATTTTATGTGTTCATAGTAGTTTCATTCATCCTATGCTTAATTCTGGCTCAAGCCTGTGTGAATCCTTAGAATTTCCAGAAAGAACTATCCATTACCATTTAATTTTTACTCCTACTTTTGTTTTCTTTTTAAATAGGAGACAAAAATGCTCTCAGGAATATTCTTCTTTACCACTTGACACAAGGAGTTTTCATTGGAAGTGGCTTTGAGCCTGGTGTGACAAACATTCTTAAAACCATCCAAGGAGGGAAACTCTACTTGAAAACAGTTAAGTGCTGAAAAAGAAGTCTCCCTGATACAGCCTTGTAGCAGGGATTTGGCATTCCATGTCTATCCACATTACAGAATGGGATGCATTTCTCTGAACATTGTACTATGGTTTGGGGTTGTTTTTTAGTGTCCCTGATAATAACTTGTGGTCTCTTTTCATCCTTTGCCAGGTGAATGATACTCTGCTGGTTAATGAACTGAAATCAAGAGAATCTGATCTCATGGCAACCAATGGTGTCATTCATGTTATTGATAAACTCCTATATCCAGCAGGTGAGTATTATTTCATGGAATTTATACACACTCTTCTGAATCTGTTTACATGTCATTTAGGTGCAATAACTTTAAAAAGTTAATTCCTTTAAAGAGACAATTCCTATGTGGAATATGAAACAGAAAATATACCTCACTACTCATTTGTGGAAGAACCTTGCTTGAAACCATGGCAACTCTTTAAAATTCTGTGAAAGTCAAGTACATGGAAGAAAAGATGCTATAGGCTATCGTTTCCACTAATATGGAAGAATATATATGTACAAGTACATGCTTGTGTGAGTGAGAGTGATCACATCTCCTGATCACTGTAAATTAAAGTAATATTAACAAGGATGTATGTTTCTTCTTACATGCCTATTTCTTTTGTCAGATCTGCCTGTTGGAAACGATCAGTTACTCACAATCCTGAAGAAGTTGATTAAGTACATTCAAATTAAGGTACTCTTTAAATAATGATCCCTTCATATTTTTGACAGGATCTGTGAAACTATGTACATTATAATTCATAAGTGATTCTCTGGTCCCTCTGTTTCTTCAGCAAACAACACATTCAATAGCTCCCAGTTAACCAAATATAGTTATGAATGATACACTGCACTCAATAGTTAACATTTATGTTTTTCAACACCAAATTGTAGAATATTTGCACTTGGATAACTCCAGTGTGAACGGGCCCAAATCTGCTCTTTGGTTCAGGTACGCTTTATCACTCCAGAAAAATAAATCAATTCTAAATCCTGAAGGCAATCCCTCTTTGAAAGAAATATTGAGTGGCTAAATTGGTATGTCATTAAACCCATCAGTCTCAATAGCCTGTGGAGAAAAATAGTTGTCCTTATCTCAGCTATCCTCCTGAGATTACATTCTCCCTCAACAATGAATGAGAGGACTAGGCAAATGGCATAGCCTAACTTTTAGATCAAAGCAGAAGTGAATCCTACCCACACTCATTAGGAAACTAGAAGGCAAGTGCTCTTTTAAATTTTAAAATTACTTTTCTGTATTTATAGTTTGTTCGTGACAGTACCTTCAAAGAGATTCCACTGACGTTTTACAGTAAGTTCATTTTAAATACTTCCAGATGGGTTTGAGATTGCTTTTTACACGTTGCCAATTCCAATCTTGAATTGTACATCTTTTTTTCAATCAAAAAGAAAGCAATTTCTGGGAAAGTAAGATGTGCCAATAAAGCACAGGAAGAGAAAGACTCAAAGTAAAATGTTTCCGGCTGTTGTGCTACTGTATGTATTTTTTTCCTTTTCCAGATGTGTGACAGGAAACTAACCCTGAAGTAAGCTGTTCAAACTCTTTGGGTTAGGCAAGTTACATATGGAAAAGATTGTTTTTCAATTTTTAGCCAAGGTTCAGTGCTTGGTGCATAGCAGAGTTGTACTGCCTCTCTCTCCAAGATGTAGCATTGTACTGTACTCTCCAAGATGTAGCATTGACCAAACTCTGCACTGAGACGGGTTTTTTTTTCATAAATTCTTCCAGAGGGACAGAGTGTACCTGTTCCACCTGTTTCCCCATACGTGCAAATATGAGGCTTGTATAGGAGGCAGTTCTGACCATTTTCTTTTTAGGGAGTAAGTGTGAAAAAGGAACCTTTTTTGCCCCCTTGCAGCCTTTCTCAGAGTTTTCATTTAGTTTCTCCTTATAACGTAGAACCTGTTGAAGCAAACAGTTAGAAGACATAGATCTTGCTGAAGCTTTGGCTTGTGAGGGAATATGAATTTAGGCAGATGATTAAATTTCTATAGGATCCTACCCACATTTCTCGGTAGAAATAGAGACAATCACATTAGGCTTTTGAAAATTGAGATGGACACATTGAAGTTAAAAGACTCTTGGAACAAAAGAAGGAATAATCTATTTTGACGGCAAGTTGAGTATGAGTCAACAGTGTGCCCTGACAGCCAAAAGGGTCAACCGTGTCCTGGTGTGCATCAAGAACAACATAGCTAGCCAGTCGAGGGAGGTAATTGTCCCACCCTACAATGCACTGGTGTGGCCCCACCTCGAGTACTGTGTTCAGTTTTGGGTGCCTAAATATAAGAAGGGCATCAAACTATTAGAATGTGTTCAGAGGAGTGTGACCAAGATAGTGAAATGTCTTAAGGGCAAGACTTATGAGGAGTGCCTTAGGTCACTTGGTTTGTTCAGCCTGGAGAAGAGAAGGCTGAGGGGTGACCTCATCACAGTCTACAACTTCCTCAAGGGGAACAGTGGAGGGGGAGGTACTGATCTCCTCTCTCTGGTGACCAGTGATAGGACACGAGGAAATCAAATGAAGCTGTATCACAGGAAATTCAGATTGGACATTAGGAAAAGGTTCTTCTCTGAGAGGATGATCGACTACTGGAACAGGCTCCCCAAGGAAGTGGTCATGGCACCAAGCCTGTTGGTGTTCAGGGAGTATCTGTACAATGCTCTTAGTCATATGGTTTAGTTTTAGGTAGTCCTGCGAGGAGCAGAGAGTTGGACTTGATGATCCTTATGGGTCCCTTCCCACTCAAGATATTCTGATCTTATGATTCTATCTCCCACAACCAGTGAGAGTAGCATGAGAAGCAATGCCTGTAAACTGAAGGAAGGGAGGTCAATATCAGACACTAAGAAAGGGGTAACTGTTGATTTAGTTGAATGCGGGAACGGGAAAGCTGGGACCTCTACCAGTGAAGGCTTCTCTACCAGTGAATGGATATGCATCAAATAATGATCTATCAGAGATGTTCAATGAATACTTGAGTCTGTCTTAGGTGTAGAGGGACAACTTGATCTCCCAAGGGGATCACAGTTGTGCTCTCCATGACGTTCTATCAAGTGTAAGAATAGTTCTGAATGTCAGAGGGTTTCCTCTGTTTACCAGGTCAGCTCCCTAGAGAAAAGAGCAAGTTTCAAATTTAAGATACATCAGGGGATTATGCAAATCCTTATGTGGGGAATTATATGAGCCATTATTCTTATGTACCCTTTAACAAGAGTTTCATAAGGCACAAACAAAGGCGAATAGCATGCCAGCAGACTCCGTCTGCAGGTGACTTGTAGATACCACCATTTAGTAACTAGAACAGAGATCCATACTCTAGATCTGTTAATATCTGTGATTTTATCCACATCTTTATGACCAGACCAAATCTAACTGATCATTATCATAAAGAAACTGTAAGAATGGAATGTGCTTTATATTCCATTTTCTATACTTTCAGAAATTAACATAATTGAAAGCAACGTCCAGCCCATCATCAGAAAGGAAGGTAAATGAGGCCCTTAGTATATATATTACTGTATATGTTCATATACATACACAGAATATATATTGTATATATTTCTTTAACAGAAGGAATGCATTTTGTACATAACAACTCCAGGATGTTCAGCACTTTGCTGGAAAAGCAAAGATACAAATATTGCAATTAGAACTGGCTGAAATATTTTGTACAAAAAGCATTTTTAAAATGTTTTTTAAATAATCTTTTTTCAAACCATGTGTTTTAAGTACCCCAAATATTACTATACTTTCAATAAAAACATTTCCTTTTTTTTAATTAAAACAGTTATTTTTAAAAATGAAGTAGATTTGTTTCTTATACTTTGAATAAAAAAAAAATTGGTTCATTTTTCTGTAGTTTTCAATCAGTTCTAAATACCAATATCTGTCAGATGCCTGGAAAAGACAGTTAGCCAAACTTTCTTTTTCAATTTCTCGAGCCAAAAGCATGAATTAAAGATTAGTGGTGGGACTGAAGAGAACAAAAATTGGGGCTGGGACTGTCAAAATCACTTGTGATTCATAACTTAACTAAATCACTTATTAGTTTTGCTAAACCAGATACACTGCTAATGAGCTCCAGTTTCCTATTGACATAAAAATGTTCAAAGGGAATCTGGTTGAGCTCAACTGAGAAGAAAGGCAGTTAAAAATGTCTTGCAAAAATTTTATCTAGACTGTTTAATCATTGTTTCTGGGAGGACTTCCTTTCTGCAGAAGTGGCATGAGCTTGCTTTTTCAGCAGCTTGTCTGTGCTTCATCCCACTTAGCATTAGAAACCATCTAGCATGTATGCTGATCTTTGTTGCCTAGTCTCCATCATTAAATCAGATCCACAGAGCAATATAAATGGACAGATGATTCCATATGGTAATTCATCCAAGATATTTTAGAAATCTTCCTATGACGAAGGTGAATCACTCTCTGAAAGTACCTGTTCTTCTATGTTAAATACAGAGACAGGGCATACAGTTTAGGTGATTTACATGATGTTTGGAAGCTGAAAGTTAACTGGAAAAAACCCCCCTCTTTTAAAGAAAAAATGAAATGTCTGAGTACTTCTATAGTACAACTAAGTGTTATTCACCAGAGAGAGAAAAAATAACTTTATAAGTTAGTGAGTATTGAAGAGTTACTCCTTTCCATTGCCAGTAGAGTGTTCCTGCTTTGGGACACACTCCAGGGAATGATCTCTGGCCAATACAGACTTTCTGCTGATGATTCAGAAATAGACCAAATAAAGCCAATTCTGGCCATTCTGAGCTTGCTAGTAGTAACAGTAGTGAGCAGCAGCTCCCATCAAAACCACATAAGCCCACAACTGTCTGTAGAAAAAAGCTGGCAAAGCTGAATGTTAAGTTTCACAATATATGTCAGGAAGTTCTAGATCATCATGATGGAAAGGAGATTTAAGTAAAAAAGGAAAAACTACCACCACCCCCAAGTTTAGAGGGTGATATCTGCCCTTTTCTGTCTCAATATTTTCTACTTGAGTTTTGCTTCCATTGTCCATACATAGGCAAGTTAAAGGGATCTAAAGAGTTAAATTTGATTGAAATCCAAATCTTAATGGATTAAATGTTCAAAGGATTGATCCTAGACTAGGCAGTATAGTAAACTATGGCTTTACCTTTTGTTTTGCATGCATCTGCTGTATCAATCACATAGGAAGGTACAGTAATTTAGAAATCTAAACAAAATAAAAGAATTTATAAACTTTCATAAATATTCCTTTGACATGTTTTCATTAATATTCATCACTTCTATCAATGTATATTGCTATTTAATGGATTCTCAACATGCAAAGGCACCTCTAAATTTACAACAGAAGCAAGAGAATGAATCTTGTATGATTGCTTCTTTAAAATATTTATGAATGTTTTTCAGACAGACTTGTTAGAATATAAAAGAAAAAACAATGGGCTGTTCAGCTCTTTAAAACTCAGAGTAGATGAATAGAGGTCTATAATAACTGGGCATCATTATGATGCTATCATACCATCTCATCTGCAACGAATAAATGAATTATTTGCTCTAAAGTCTAATTTATACAAACATCTTCTGCTGTAAAAGCAAACAAAATGTATGCTTGAATTTGTTACTGTTGAAGGACACTAGTTAGCCTGAATTGTACTGTTTTCAACAATTAACACCAGGCACATGTATTCAAAAGCTATTGTTAAATCCTGATCAGTAATTTAAAAAAAAAAAATCTATGCAGTATAGACTTCTACATAAATTCATACAAAGAAAGATTTTTACAGGATTTTTAAGGAAGGTGAGAGATGCACTGTGTTAAGTTTCTACCTCTGAATAGGAAATAGAATACTTCTTAAGCAGGTGTTGCCATAACACTTCTTGCAGAAGAACCATGTTATTCCTGTTAATTGGCTCTGTCAATGGTATGTTCCTAATTTATTTAGTATGTGCTGCTCCAGCCTGTCAGACAGAGATACATTTGGATCAGTGTGGTCTATAAGGATTGCACAAGATTAAGAGGTTTGTTTTGGCCATTGAAATCAAGATGATATCTCGCATGCAACTCAAAGAATGATAGCCACTTCTGCTGACAAATATCCTTACAGCTGTTCCAGTTGATCTATGAAGTTTTTTTTTTTCCTTTAACCTGGGTGACCGCTGGCTAAGTCTTGGTAGCTTGGAAAAAAAAATGAAAAAAAGCCAAATTAAAAAAAAAAAAACAACACAGAACAACAAATTAAAAAAACCCACAAAACAACAAATTAAAAAAAACCCAAACAACACATAAAAAACCACCAAAACAACATAAGGGAATTCTGATTAAAAGACCTAGTTTTCTCTTGGATATCTATACAGTTAGTAGGAAATAACATGACAAACATTTGTCTCTCTAGTTCTCTTCTAAACTTGCACACAATAGTTTGCACACTGATCACTAGTGGAGCGATAGCTATAAGATTCCAGCAATGCTGCAGGGTACGTTTCTTACCAATGTATATAGAGGAAGACTCCCTTTCACCTGCCGAGGATCTGGTTTTTTTGCCTGAGACTTGACAACAGATGTTCAAAATATCAGATATACAAAAATAAATAAAAAAATTGTAAACAGTAAGTATGCAATAGGATCTAAATTTAAGATAGCATGGGAGGAAGTGCAAGATGGTACAGCATTGTTGCAAATGGCTTCTCAAATTTAAAAAATCCTCTGTTACAGTCATCTGGTTTGTTTAGAGTAGTGGGGATAATGGTAGCTTCATCTCAGCCCCGTAGAATACCATAAATATTTTTATGACTATTTGTAACATGTTGTTTTTTTCCTATGTCACAGACCCATCTATCACACAGCTCACTAAGTTAATTGAAGGGGAACCTGAGTTCAAAATAGTCAGGGAAGGGGAGACAATAACTAAAGTGATTCACGGAGGTTTGTATGCTTTCAGCAACTCAATTTGTATTAGTTAAAATTTGGAATATTCATTATTCCCAGTCAGTTTCTACTTTATGTAGGCAATTCATGTGACATGTTGGACAACTGTTCTGTTTTTAACAAGACCTTCTGGAAGTGTTGTAATCTTATTACATCATTTCATTCTCACTTCTCATGCATTTCAAAAAATTGGGATTTTTTGCCTAGCTGTGTCCCATAACTACAGTCAAGACAGTGTTAGAAATGCTCTGCATGCTGACATAACATCTGTCCAGTTAAGTATTATTTGCTGGTTGTTATCCTGCAATCAAAAATGCAGTACATGATTCTGTGATAGAATGGCATTTTTATCAGACAGACAGGTAAACTTTGCCTTCTGCTTTGCTATGGGCATTGAGAAGTTCCCATCTAGGGTGCTTTTAAAGGAAAAACAGCATGTGGCCATCCTAAATTTGGAGGAAACTTAGTTCTTGGTCTCCTCTGAACATTTTAACTTTAGCCTGGAAAAGAGGAGGCTGAGGGGAGACCTTATCGCTCTCTACAACTACCTGAAAGGAGGTTGTAGTGAGGTGGGTGTTGGTCTCTTCTCCCAAGTAGCTAGCGATAGGACAAGAGGAAATGGGCTTAAGCTGCGCCAGGGGAGGTTTAGACTGGAAATTAGGAAAAATTTCTTTACGGAAAGGGTGGTCAGGCATTGGAACAGGCTGCCCAGAGAGGTGGTGGAGTCACCATCCCTGGAGGCGTTTAAAAAACGGGTAGATGTGGCACTTCGGGATATGGTTTAGTCTGGTCTACCCTTGATTAGTCTAGAGTGGGCTTGGTAGTGTAGGTTAATGGTTGGACTGGATGATCTTAAAGGTCTTTTCCAACCTAGATGATTCTATGATTCTATGATTCTATGATTTTTATTTTTCATAAAATATACTGTGTTATTTCCTTGTGTGCTTCAGTAAGTTTCAGCATCTCAAAAACAGCACTTGTAACACTGTTCATCACTTGATTAATGTCTTCAATTTAAAAATCGTTGTAGAACCAATTATTAAAACATACACCAAAATCATTGATGGGCGACCTGTGGAAGTGACAGAGAAAAAAGTAACAGAAGAAAGAATTATTCAAGGTAAATTATGCTGGGCTATTCATACTTAGTAAAGTTCACCATTACATACAAAAGTAACTCATCTGAAGAGTTCTGTTCTAATGCCTAAACTGCATTTCCTGGAGAGAAATGTCTAAATTTAATTTCCTGGAGAGATGAATTTTCACTAATGCTTCCCACTTCCTATGTACAGCTCAAACTCTGGCTGTGTGTGCTACACACACATATACAGATATGGAAACAATACTTTAACAGCATGCAAAACAATGAAATAGTGTTTTTTTTTTTTTTTTTTTTAATGTATTTGCAAAGAGTCTGCTTTTTCAAGTTTCTTGATACCATTTCGGGATGAACCTGCTTTTATTGCATTTTTGTAGTCTGGCTTGCTTTAGAAAGAAGACTTTTTGTGTGTGTGTACTTCTGGGTTGTATATCTCCAGGTAGGTTTCATTTGACCAAAGGTAGACCTTCAGTATGTAGATACCTACTTTTGCATGTCATCCCAGGCCCCCTTGACAATCATTTCAGAAAAAGACCTTCTCTGTTTCTTTGCAAGTAGGGGCCTTGACTGATCTGACATCTACAAGTTAAACATTTGTATTCAGCTAATGTACGATAAAATCGATGTGCATCTGTGTCCCCTGATCTTCTCCCACAGTACCTTTCAAACCCTTTGGCTAATTTCAATGATATTTGACCTACTACAGAGACATTTCTTTCAGAATCCTAGAAACTTCACAGAAATTGAAAAGTGGATTGAGGCATATTTAAGCAGTCACAAATTCTCTGCTAACACTTTTTGATTCCCTTGGTTAAATAGCAGTTTGTATGCTGCCATTAAAATTCTGTCTGCCAGAGCAGTTGTAAGGGAAAGACAGTGTTATAGGAACATACTGACTCAGCAGAAAGTCTTAATATTCAGTTTATTTAGAAAATCTTAAAATTCAATTTAAGAAGTCATTCAAGCAAGAGGGAAATAAAGAACCAGACTTAAGTTATTCTCATACAACTATTTACTACAATGAAAATAACTGGATGAAAAATATTGGTGGTTTTTGAATAAACCTGGGACTATTTTTCAACCCAAAATTTCTGGGGGAGAAAATAAACCACCATTTTCTCATTTCTCAAGTTCAAGTTTCACTAATATCCCACATAAAATGGTCACTATAATGTAAAATGCCAGTGTTTCAGACCTGATATTTCCTTCTCTTCCTTCTGCAATAGAAACTGATAAAGAATATCAAATGTTAAGCTCTCAAATGATACATAGCATTAATAAAATCAACAACATCTATTTACAACAGTGGATCCACACTCTTTTTGCACGTAGGAAATACCTGATCTATGACATAATACAACAAAGTGTTTAAAACTGTGTCTTAATTTAAGAATGTGAGCAGGTATTTACTATGACTGTGTTAAATTTGTATAAGTACTTTCCTTAATAGCTTTAAATACTATTTGTAACCCTCTTTCAGTGTAATTTGGGACACAGTGAAAGATAAAATGAGCATAAAAACAGATTAAAGCATGTTAACCATGGAACCATCCTAAGTGTTAAATAGGAAAAAATAACTTAAAAGGAAATCGTGTTATATCTGATTAAAGTCACTGTCTTACACATCTTTTTTCCAGGTCCTGAAATAAAATATACCAGAATCACTGCAGGTGGTTCAGACAATGAAGAGAAGTTAAAGAAATTGCTTGAAGAAGGTTAGTATCCTTCTTTTCTTTCCTTCCTAAAAAAAAAAAAAAAAATAGAAATTATATTACTTAAGTAATTACTGTGTGGATCAGCAAAGGTGCTCATACTGCTAAATCATACCCAGAGATTAAACCTCTTAACATGAGAAAAGTCCAAATCTAATGTTCTAGTTTGAGTCTCTGATCTTCACACTTCAGTCAGCTCCAGAGTTGAGGCTGCCTGGGTCTAATATATACTATGTTATGTTCATCATAAAATATGGTGTTTTCAGTGATTACATGGAATTTAATATCATGACAGATGAATTTTGTAATTCAGCAAAATGCTATGACAGGATTAATTCAGTAATACTCTGTTATAGGACTGTCAAATATTTTGTGTAAATCAATTTTTTGCCATAACCTGTATCCTATCAGAGGTTACCAAGGTGACCAAATTTATTGAAGGTGATGGTCATTTACTTGAAGATGAAGAAATCAAAAGACTTCTGCAGGGAGGTAAATCAGTGTAATATAACTAACCTTTTTGCAACAAGGTGTGATAACTGAAACCCCTCTCAGATATGTTGATCTCAACATTTTAAAGACTGACCTAGTGGAAGTGTAATTTGAATGGGAGAAAAAATAGGATGCCATATATGAAGTGCCAGATGTCTGTGAAGTGGAAATAACTACCAAAGTTTGATTAATCAAGTTTTTTATAACACTGATCATGAAAAGAAAATACTTGGGTTTTTTCAGTCTTTAAAAAGTTACCTAATTAAAACTCAGGGGAGCAATGAAGATTTATTCCACTAGCTGTGAACTTTTTTTTTTCAGCAAATTTAAATCTGTGAAAAACACTTATGAAGTGGAAAGTATTGTAACAGGCCAAATTCATCTTATCAGTTCTTCAGAAATGAATATTCATTGCCCTCAAGTTAATAATTAAAGGCATGTTTAGCATCCGTCTTTCAATGCTTACAAGTGATGGATATCAAGGCATTAACTTTAATTCTCTTCAAATATAGCATTCCAAGGAATGGTTTTCTTTCCTTCTTGCTCTCTTAATTCTAACAGTTTTGGCAATATATAACCGGTAGCTGTAGAAAACTGGTAAAAGAACCTGTGCTTATGAAATTAATCTTTATCTATGAATTTGGAATGTTCTCTGCTTAATGTAGATTAGAAAAACTATCTATAATAGCAATGGGGAATAAAAAAAGAGAATTCAAGTGTTGTGTTTTTAGTAAATGTTAGTGTAAACCTGAGTCAGAAGCTCAAAAATATGTATGGATGTTTCTCTTGGCATACATGAGCTGAATCCTCTAAGTTACAAACTTGAATACCAGTGAAGTAGTTCACAGCCCAGCTGTGTGTTCACTGAACTAAATCTTGTAGTCATTCAAAAGCACTATTCTGTGGATGAGACTTAAACTTCAGTTAGGTAAAAAATTTAGTGATGGCTGAACAGCTGAACAGCTTTCCACCAAACAAAACCAGGCTAGTTGATAATGCAGTGAGTCTTAGAGAAAAGCCAAGATATGGCTACAAATACTGTTGACTATTTCTTTATTGTTTCAAACATATAAATCTTAGTTTTACAGATCTAAGCCAGGATTTGCCTATAATCGTTGAAGAGAAATAAGAACTTCTGGAGGGTTTTTCATCTTAACCTATCTTAAGTATCCCAGCTATGCGAAAAGAGTTGCTCTCTGGAGATGCTTATTTCAGTGATGAATATTTAAAAGGAAAGTTGACAATGAAGAAAATTATAGCAAGAAAATCCCTCCATATACTGACCATGTTCTATTGGTGTCAACCAGGCAATAAAGAGCAGGATCAAACTTTATCTGTAGAACTGTTCAAAATTCTGGTGACAGGTCTGAAGCCAGAATCTAACAATTACAATTGTTAGATTGTTACAGAGGTATACAATTAAATAGACATAATCTGTAGAGATACATCTTAAAGTGATCCTATAGGTGTATGGGAAAGAGATAAATAGTTTCTTTGCAGTAAATTTGGAAAAGACAATATCGTCTCTTGAATTCTTGCTCTTTTTCCTTGCTATTATATGTTAGTTTGCATAAGCATCCTGCTTTACAGAATGGACCAAAAAGGCAGACTTTTCTCTTGTTTTAATTTGATTTTTCTCTGTCTTTTCCATGATTTATCCAGTCAGCTACCCTTGGCTGCCATGATAATACCTTGCCATACATTTAGCCAATAAAAGCAGATACACATGCTGCTTTGTGGCTGATGGTAATAATGTTTTATGTCCCTCTTGTCTACATCAAATTACTTCTGGTTTACTGAAAATTTCCTAAGTACTTAAATCCAAGTACAGTCACAAATGGATGTATTACCACTGTCTATCATAAAAGAATGATTTCATATGGGCTGTAATTCTACTTATACAATATCCAGCACAGCTTATTACAATTGGCAGTCTTTGCTCAAACAAAAATTCAAGCCAAGATTACAATGACTGACTCTCAGCCCTAGATAAGGAATCACCTGTGGCAGGGCCAAGGAAATCAGCAGGACCTTACAGTATGAATAGCATGGTGGCCTGCATACACCTATTCCCCCAAAATGACATTGTTTCCACTGAAGGTTCCTTGCATATGGAAAAATGCTATGCCAGATTTAACTCATTTGTTTTTGATGCTTATCATAGCTGGAACTGAGTACACCAAGGTTACTAAAGTAATTGAGGGAGAGCCACAGATTATCGAGAGAGAAATCAAGAAAGTCCATCTGGAAGGTTAGTTTGTCTAAAAGTCCAGTATCACTAAGACCTGCTTTGTCTGAAGTGATCATTCCAGGTGGGGTTTTATAGTATCTATTCACAAAAATTACTTAGGTCTGAAGCCAGTATTGTAGCAAGAAGGGGTTTATAACTGGTTTGGAAAAGAATTCTTTCACTGACATTGCAGAGAAAAATGCTGAGGCTTATCTTGTGGCTAAAAGTAACTAAAAGATTTGGCAAACATGGTAGACAAGAGGAAATGTCTAACCACAAAGCTTAGGTAAAACATTTGAAGGAACACGCACCATAAGAATTGCCTTTTCTCTAAGCAGCACATCCAGAAGAAGACCACGTGAGTTGTTTTTAACTTGAGTTATTTCTTGTTGGTGTTAATGTGATCTGTTGATGTGAGGGGTTCTCAGCTTGGTGAAGGGTGGGTAGGGTGGAGGGAATATAACCTGTAGGGCTGAGTAAATATCTCACAGCATCTTGGAATTTCTCTACCCTTATCCTGTTGTTAAATGAGGGAAGCTCTTGGGCTTGAAAAAGCTGAATGGTGTCAAGGTCCAAAATTAATCTCTTAAAGGAACCAAATACAATTCCGTCTGGCTTTATACCAGGAATTTTTTCTTCAAGTTTAACAATAATTTTTTAATGATCTTCATTCCAAGTTAAGAAGTAGCTTGTTTAGGGTTTCTTTTGTATTTCTACATATGTCCTTTTCCAGTTCTAATTCTAATAATGCAGAATAAGTTATTCTGTCAGCCTTTGAACTAAATTCATAGGAAAGAGTATTATGGCTTGTGGAGAATTAAGTTAAATAAATATGTTTCCACTTCTTAAATTTTGAAGTTGGGGCTAAACCACAACAAGTCTATGCTAAATACTGAAGGTATACCATAGTGTTTGTATAACTTCAACGTTCAGTAGTACAAGGCATGCAGGGAAGTCGACTATTGCCTGAAAATAACAGACAGGTGTGATCTTGGACCATGAGGTTGCCTGAAAGCATAATTTTATGGACAGCATATAGAAAGTATATGAAAGTATATATAGAAAGTATATGAAAGTATATATAGAAAGTACAGAAAGCATTCTTTGCATGCACCATGTTCTGTCCTTGCCAAGGCAGTGCAGAGCTTGAAATTCTCCATCAATCACATTGGTGCAGATAAACAGTGTTTAGCCTCAGCTGTAATGAACTGAAGCCTGTATCTCAGGGCTACGCATTCATATACCCTGTACCTCAGGATGGAAAGACAACTGACAGCACCTAGTTAAGCAAAGATACAAGTACTTCATGGTTGTAAAGAAGGAAAAATATGACAGTTGACATTTCTGTGACAGTAACAGAAGTATTATCTTGTATGCTTGTGAAATGTTTTTCCTCCCAATGAGGAGACATCTGGTTTAAAAAATGTCTCAAGGTTTGATGAGAAAGAGGAAAAAGTGTCCGTAGTTTCACTGGGTCAGTATTTTGGAAAACAGATGTATCTGCTAATGAGGGTGGTACCTATTCAGTAGCCCTTGCTCTACTCTACACTTTAAAACAGAAGTCTCTGAGAAAATTAACTGGACTATAAATGTGGAATCATACTGTGGACTCACAATGCAGTTATGCATCAAACCCCAAACACAGCTGGAAATGTGGCCAACATCTTGTGATGGTTTCAAGCATATCACTTATAATTCCTGAAGTAATGTCTATAGAGCAGACCTGGACATCCTTTGCCAAAAGCTGAGACTGAGTCCTGGGCTGTACGTCGCTGACAGTGTCAGATGGTGTTTGCTGAATGAAGAGCATGGAAAAAACCTCCTGGTACCTGCCTACATCATGTAACCATCTGTAGGAGTTCAGTGTGAATAATGGATTAATTCATACTGTTAAAATGTAATAATATTTTTGAAATATTGGTTAGATTTGATGGATGACTACACATGACAGGAGTGTGTGAATTGTATTATAAGCATTCATGTTTCAGGTGATCAAGTCAACATGTTAATGGGACAAAATTTTTAATGTACTGACAACCTTAAAGAACAAACTTTGCAAGCCAGCAATGGGTTTCCAACATTTCTAATGAGTTTAATTCAAAGACTCTTACAAATAACTTCTGACTGCAATATTTCTGTTTTCTAGAAGCACCTGTAAGGAAAGTACAACCAACCAGGAGGACACAAGGTAAAAACAAAACATAGATTCAAACTTTTTAACATACATCAAATATTGTTCTCAGTTACATTGAACATCAGGAGGGAAAAATACTCTTAAGAAAACAGAGTTCAAAAGGAAAGAGTTGCTTTTAAAAAAAGAAATTTTATCAAAGCTTGGTATTGTTAATTGCTGGGTTTCTAGATTTTTTTCTTATATATATTTCTGTCTAAACCCCACTTAGATTATGTGCTTTGGTCAAACAGTCTTTCAGATTAGAATAAAGCTGTCAAAGTGAGATATGACTCTGGAGTCTAACAGTGTGAAAATGGTGTTGTGGGATTCCCCACCATAGGATTTGTAACACACTGATTCTACATTATTTTGATCAATTAAGAAGCTGAGAGATCATTGTAATTTCCTAGCTGCCAGCACAAGAGGAAAGATTCAGTATCAGGCTTCATCTTTCCTCTTCACATGTCTGTTTCACAAGTAAATACACTATATAGTGTAACTATATTATGTATAATTATAGGTAATAATTATGGTTCTTTTTCCATTTTTCCCAGGGGGAACACCAAGAAGGAGGACAAGGCTAGCTTATCTCTAAACGCTTTCCAGGATAGAATCCACAGAATTACAAATTAACAACATGGTCTTTGAGAGGATGAGAAACTGGTTTTAAAAAAACGACAACATTAGAAAATGATGTTGTTTTGATAACTTAACGTAAACTGAACCATGAATCCAGAAAAAGATGTGAAGCTGCAGATACTCACTGCTAGCACAGTGCTCACTAGGAGGAGTAGTCCATTGAGGGTGCTTTAACTGCTCTTGATGGTAAGCACTATGCAAGGTGGGATCCTGGAACTGCTAAAGGCCATCAACTTCTGTAGAACCAGGATTCCTTCTTATGCTGGCTAGTAAGTGTTTGCAGGACTGGATTCAAAAGAGCAGGGAACAATACAGAGTGTATTTTTTTATTATTATTATTTCCACTAAATAAGAAATATAAAAGAAATTAGATCATTTCTAGAAAAAAATCACTTTAGGTGACTTTTAGAGTAATTAAAGGAATATGAGATGTTAAAATAGCACTTTTGGTTCAGTAGTATTGTATGCTTTTTATAAGTCAAAATTCATCACATGTTTAATGTCATAATGACACCAGTAACATTACCTTTTCTAAACAAACAAATATGCCTTATATTAAATGTATCCTTTTTTTGTTCTACATTGCATATCCAAATACCTTCTAGTAACGTGGCTGATGGAAGCTCTTAAAAAGAAAAAAAGCAAACTTTATGAGCTTCTTGAAATGTATTTGAGAACATGTTGACTTCTTTATTTATAAGAAAAATCATTCCCATTAAAGGAATCCTATACCAATACATATACTGAGACTCTTAAGTGTTTTCCCACTTTTCCCTAAATGTGTCTTTTGATTATTGAAGTGGATTATAAAAGAGATAAATAAAATGCATGCAAACAGTTAACTCAGCATGGAAAAAGGTTTTACAAAAATGAGTCTAGGTCTGAAAGCTTTTATATCAAAATATGCTTTGCTAATATCTGGTACTAATGTGGAGTTGTCTGTAAATTATGTCAATTTTATAACTCTAGTTTTGTACTCATAAAAATTGTTTGACTTTATTAACAAAAGTTGGAAAACAATTACTCATGGAGTAAAACAAATGTGTTCAAAGTGCCTTAATTCTGCAGACCAAAGTTTCAAAGGAGTTATCTAATGTGTTTTTATACTTCTGTTTTGAAACAAATACTCAATAAAGAATTTGGATGAACTGTGTTTGTTTTCATTGGTAAATATTTTTTTGAATAGCAAAGCAAATTCTAAATATTCTTAAGCTTTTAGTGTAGTTTTTAGTTAAAAAATGTGCTTTCACAGAAGCGAAGTGATGCTTCCCTTTCTCACACAGTGCATGCTAATGCACTTGGACTGCATCACTCTCCTTAAACACAATTAAAAACCTTCCCTAATTCCACAATCACATACCACAAGCACTACTCCCTGAATGGTGTAGCTATCTGAGCATTGGATTGATACACTGTGTAGCCTTACTGGGCTGTCAATACTCTGTCAGGTGACCTCAGTATCTACTGTCATAGTACTTTGGTGAAAGGACAGCTTTCAACCCTGGTAAGAGCTAGATAGGTTTTAGGTGAGAATGAGAGCTCTTAGGACTGCCTAGAGGGTGAACTGAAGCTGTCACCTTTCCCTGGGGCCTTTGACTGTCATTAAGTCATTAACTTTAACCTGCTTTCTTCACTGCTATGCCACCATGAGCTGTCAGTCAAGTAAGATTTTAAAGAACAGTAATTATGTTAGGGGAGGAATGTGTCTGTGCTCTCGTCTCCCAAAAAAGGGTAGGAGATGGGGTGGAGCTGACAGATAAAGTATGTACAGGAACTGGGGAGGAAGCAGAAGGAGGCAAGAAAATGGATTAAAACCTATCCTGTGTTAGGACATTTTTAACTTTTCAAGTGGGAATAAATTTGTAACATACTAATTTTGATAACATTTTAAATCCTCGGGTAGTCACTAAAATACCTTTCTGTACTTCACCCTCCATTAATATAATCCAGATGAACCACAACAATATATAAAGGGCACTTCTCCATGAACACTTGTTTCCCTGGTACACTCCATCCCTCTGAGTCTTTCCGTGACCACCGAAGGTGTCTGTCCAGCTGCACTGTACGCTGATGTCTCTTTTGATGGAGTAGCTTTTTCTATTTATCTGAACAAGAATCCTTCCACAACCCAATGTAGAAAGAAAATCAACATGTTTTTTTAATTGCTTTTCATATAGTTAGTCATTTCTGTCTCAGCACAGTCTTCTACCAAAGAGCGGATTTGGGGAACTTTTGTGACTACAACTCCGCTCATCCCGTTATCTGTTTCCCCTCACCTTACAGTAATTTAAACTAATATAATGTGATTAAACAAGGGATTAGCATACTACCAATTCAGAATGCTTACTAATAATAGAGAACTCACTCTTTTATTTGATGTTTCCTTATAATCTCTTGGCGATTTATAAACAGGAATGTCGGGTTGAGTTGGTGATAGAATTCTCAAAGCACTTTATCTGCTTTATCCTTTGGTATCTCCTTTGGTATCTTGTATGAAAAACTGATCCCAAAGAATTTGTAACTGGCAGTGCTCCCAAATCTGTCAGTTTTGCCAGCAGTAGGTGCACACAAGTGATCTATAAGATCACTAATTTTTCATGTTTGCTTTAAAAATAATAAAATTTTAGAATTAGACATTTAATTGTTACCTTGTGATATTCTGGAAACTAGGACTTGTATCTACATGCTGTTCCTCATGATATAAGAGGGTGAATATTCATAAATATTCATAATTGGACAAGTATTGAACAGAGAAGACCATGGTGAATATTTTTCATATATTGGATAAGGTGAAAAGAAGTGGAAGCTACAAAGCAGAGACATAACAGGTGCATGACAAAACTGCCCTGGAATTAACAATTCTTCACATTTAAATAACACCATATAATTATTTCTTCATCTTTGCTCTTCATTATCAAGACCTTCATTGTCTGTATTTGTCAGACTCATAACAGTGCTCTCATCTCCACTCATTTAACTTATGCCATATAAGCAACAACACAGGAGAGGAGGAATAAAGGACACTAAGGTATATCTACATTGATACCCATGAGAGAAAGTCAATCATAATGTTCCAGAAAATGACAAGTAAGTCCGTACCCCAAAGCTATGATAATATAGGGTTCATCCATAGGCCACTAGAACAGAGCAGCATCAAAATGTGACAGTCCACAAAATGGATATCATCACAACCCCTGGGTTGATGGAGAAGGACCTCAAAATTGTCATAGCAATAAACTCTTTTTCAATAACACTGAAATAATTCAACCACAAAATTGGTAAGCAGAAAGGAAGCCCTAAGGAGTAGAAAAAATATTGCTAGGGTTGAGATTAATGAGTGAAGGTTTCAACTAAGAAAGTTTTTTGGATAAAGTTAAAGCTGAGGTGCAAACCGATGTTTATACAATGAATATGTCAGAGGAGAAGACTGAAAACTTAAGCAGCATCTTATGACCGTAATTGCTGTTGGAGGAGACTTGAGAGGTGAGCAAATACCTGACCTAGCAATGGCAGAAAATAGGCCTTATTCTAGATCACTGAATATGCTTTTTTTTGAACATAAAATGGCCACTTCTGTCCTCTCTTCCTCTTTCTCTCATCTCCCATGTGAAGTGACCAGCAAGGATGCCTGAACACTTCTTTGGCATGGATCTATGTGGTCAAAACATTCCTAAACTGGTGCCCTGACCTTTGCAGTCATGTTAGCTCTGTTTAGTTTAATACATATAAAGCCTGCTTCCCAAATTTGCCTGTGATAAAGAACAAGACAAAGTAACTGAAATCGACTTCTCTGAAACAAAATTTTGTTTTTTCTTTCCCTTAAAGGTGAAAAGTAAATGGATCAAAACCATAAAAAACCTACCCTTAAAAGCAGCACCATAAATCGTATGCTGTTTCATATAGATTTCTGTCTTCTGTGTTCAATACCCTCTGCCAAATTGATCTGAAATTTCCTAAGAGGTCCAAAATTTAATAGATGACTGACATCCATGTACAAATCTTTCCATACTCTTATACACATTCCCATCATTGTACCCTCACACATGACCACAAGACTGATGAAATAAAGCCTAAAAAAGGAGAAAAAAAAATTCTTAATAATGCCTGATTCTTTCTTTACATGATTCAGCAAAAAGTTTCACCCAGCCCTATTTCTTTCTCTTTAGTTTGAACAAGAGCACTGTATTGTACAGCCTGATATCTGCATCACATGGGTGTCAGCCTTAAACTGCTTATACTACCTTTGCCTTTTAGGGTTCAGATTTTTAAGCTCAAATAATGTTCTGTTAAACTTGATACTGTCTGAGGAGAGTAAATTTTTCTATCTCTATAGACACCAAGCTTTGGGGTTTATCTTGCTTTCTTACCCTTTTGTTGTTTCTTTGAAGATCCTTAGAATTACCTATGATGCCACCTCGGTGCTCTCACCATGGACCACTCACACAGCAGCTTCTGGACACAAGTGTAGGAGCTCTAGTAGTAAAGGCACATGTGATATCTGTAAAAAGCCAAATAGAACAAAACTCCCATTACTTTAATTCAGCCCCTAAGAAATACATCAAAAAATGTTACAAAATTGAAAAATGTCAATGGTGTTGAATTTTTTTTTGTAAAACTGAATAGGAAAAATGCCATCTGTGATATTCTTTCACATGCAAAATTGAGTAGCTCTATTCATTAGTGCATTTTAAATGTCTACTTCAGCTATGAACATTCAGTGTTGGCTGTCTTTTTTTTTTTTTTTTTTTTTTTTTAACCAGGAACAATTTTCAAAAATGTTACTTTTAGAAAGATTAAATGGACGTTTTATGAAGAAATGTGGTTTGTCTTATCTCATGGACTTTGTGTTTCAATTAAATGCCTTTTGTGTAAAGTAGAAGCTTTCAAAATTAGTTATACATCAAAAAAATGCAGCAGTTTTTTTAGGAAAATGCTAGACAGAATGTTTTCAAGTTATATGTTAACTGAAAGAAGAGACAAACCAAAAGCCTCCTTATAACAAAACTGTGTAGTTAAACTTGCAT